TTCCATCATGCTCATGATGCAAAAAATCTAAATTTTTGTTCTCATAACTGATAAAAAATTATGTGTGTGTGCCCTAATCGTTTGATTGCAGTTGGTTGTTATTTTTGGTGGTATTTACTAATAATAGTCTCATTTCCAATGTGTGTCCTGTTTTTATTCAAACTATGTAGATGTTAATGAGCTGAAAAAGTTTATGCATACAGTGATAGAAGGAGCCAACTCTTGATGAGGTAATTTTTTTAATAGTGTGTAAGCACTCTTTTTTCATCGTTTATCTCTTTGAAAAATAAAAAAGCTTATGGTATGTACAGACTTTTGTATTTATATTTCCTTCATGAGATGTATACTTTTTTTTTGCAAGGTGATGAAATTGATTTAATGTTGCACCTACTGAAAGAGAGAAGTTTGTAGGTGGTGCTCCAAGACATCATGTTGAAGAGTCTAAATACTAATTTATAGTGTATTTTTTATGTGAAGTTACAACGTTTACATACATACTGAAGAGTTTAATAGTTATTACATACGCAACAAACTTGATTTTTGGAGAAAATATGCAACCTAGAACCAATATATGCAACATTTTAGGATTATAACATTGTCGTCTTAAAACGTGAAATGTTAAAAACATCAGGGAAAGGAACTGATCTATCTGTAAAAGAAATGTGATCATGTATTGCACTTTTTGTTAATAATTTAATAGATACACTTTGTTTTACTATTAGTATTTAATAGATAACTTTCACTGTCAATAACTTTCTGTAACAATAATTTAAAGTAATAATATATGAATAATTTATCTATCTTTTTAGAGTAATATTATGTTTTTGGTCCCCGAGTTTAGCTGATTTGTTTTTTTTTAAAATTTGGTCCTTAGTTGAGGTATGTAACGTTTTTCATCTTTGTGCCTAGTAAAATGACAATACGTACTCTTCTTTCTAAGTTAGTGTGCTTTATTATATTCCTCTGAGTTCTGACAAGTTCTGCCTTTTTGTATCAGATAAAACCTCTGCTTATAAAGGAAGAACATGGAGTCATATTCGGGATCATGTCTATTTTCATATAGGACAGTAAGTTAGTTCTAAATAAAGTTTTATATAATAATATTATGCTGAAATGGTTGAAATTTTGTTATTACCCTCTTTGGACACAGATGGTAGGCTTGTAGTCATCAATAAAAGCCAAAGAATTTTGTTGAGGAATGCAAAAAAATTTCATTATACATATAACAAATGTAACTAGTCTTTTTTCATTGTTTAATATAACAAACAGTCTCTTTGAAAAATAAAAAGGTGCAACACCATTGTGGTTTGGATTTCTAATGCATGCACAATGTTTGTGGTATGAGTGGGAAACTACTTTAGAATTTGGCATATTTTAGATCTAGCTCAACGCCTAAAAGTTTTATATATAGTTAAAAACTCTGAACGAAATTAGTTTAATAGGAGGAGATTATCAAATATGACATGAGTAGTTACGTTTCACAATTCACACATAAAAGTTGCATATCAAATTTTGTTCTGAAGGGACTTTCACGAAGATTAGGATTTGAATCATCAAATCGAGAGACAATTGCCTAAATCAATGTACCTTTTTATTACCAAGTCTAGATTTCATATCCATATACACATTCTTAATGTAAACCCTCTCGTTTTGCTCTACATTTCATCACCAAATTTACTGATATTATTGTTGTGGTAGTGTTGTTCATCCAGAGAAATGGGAATGTTGTGCTCTACATTAGAAATCCAAATATGGCATTGCTTGACATATTTCCCCATTTGATGAAGTTAGCCTACATTGAAAATATTGGAAAATTTATATCAAACAGTGGGTGTCAATCCAAACCGAGTCAAAATCACGTGATATGATTGTCTTTTGCTTTGTTTGATCCAGTAAAAGCCATGTTAACAGTAGTTGAACTAGTGGGTAGAAGTCCCAGTTTTTAAGAATGTTTTTATTTGGTCCTTAGTTGTTGGTTTGCAGTGTGGAATAATACAGAAAAACAATTTGCTTCCACTATCTATAGGCATGTATCTGAAACCTTCCAAGATTACAAGTTTTTGATGGAGGGAGCTATTAGATTGTTTTTAGGGCTAAATGCAATAATCAATTCTCCAATCATTGAGCACTTTTATAGTGTTGATTTTGATTTTTTTCTTTTTAATTGACTAATTTACCCTCATGCTACTTTCATTGTTATGATGAAAATAGCATGCTAATTTCATTTTTATGACAAAAAACTGCGTGCTACTTTCATTTCTAAAACAAAAATAACATGCTACTTTTGTTTGTTGTGATAAAAATAGCATTCTACTTTCTTTTTTATGACAAAAATTGCGTGCTACCTACTTTCTTTTTTAAAATAAAAATAACATTTAAAGTTTTGGTTAATTATGCATGCTTGTCTAAAGAAGCAGAACAAGTTTGTAAAGAGGTGAACTCTCTCTACATATCAATATATAGTTCTCTTCTAATAAACTGCGACTGCATATAATGTAAGTGGCTATTTCTGATACTGTTTTTATAGATCAATGAGGTGTTCTTCAGGATTATGCACAACACCCAACTGAAAAAGTTTATGAAATGCATACAGTGATAAAAGGAGCAAACTCCTAATGAGGTAAATTTCTTAACAATGTGTAAGTACTCTGTTTTCATTGTTTAATTATCTCTTGAAAAATTAAAAAAAAAAAAAAGCTTATGGTATGTACAGACTTTTGTATTTATATTTCCTTCATGAGATGTATACTTTTTTGTGGATGCAGCTTAAGATGGAGCTAGGTGATGAAATTGATTTAATGCTGATAATGCACAGGTAGTCTAGTTTATATTGTATTTTTGATGTGAAGTTGCAAGATTTACATATAAGTTGAAGAGTTTAATAGGTATTATATACACAACAAACTGGATTTTTGGAGAAAATATGAAACATTGTTACGAATCAGATCTCTTTGCAATCAGAGCAATTCTGATAACTGGGCCAAATCTTCACTTTGATTTTTGATTTCATCCATTACAAAGAAAATATAAATTTATAGGGATTTGCTGTTTTAACAACTTTTAGCACTCTTAAGTCAATGTTGCTTATTATAAAGATTGTTATTATGAAAGCTGATTTTACCTCTTAACGCTTTAAAATGTGTCTAAATTTAAAGATATGGTGTGAAAATCAACCAAAACTTACAATGAAGAATCCAATAAGGAAGGCCAAATGAGCAATGTTTGTGGTATGAGTGGGAAACTACTTTAGAATTTGGTATATTTTAGATCTATCTAGCTAAACGCTTAAACGTTTTATATGGCATATCAAATCTATATATAGTTAAAAACTCTGAACGGAATTAGTTTAATAGGAGGAGATTATCAAATATGACATGAGTAGTTGATACGTTTCACACATAAAAGTTGCATATCAAATTTTGTTCTGAAGGGACTTTCATGAAGGTTAGGATTTGAATTTAGTTTGTTCAATCATCAAATCGAGAGACAATTAATTGCCTAAATCAATCTACATTTTTTTTTATCAACTCTAGATTTCATATCCATATTACTGATATTATTGTTGTGGTAGTGTTGTTCATCCAGAGAAATGGGAATGTTGTGCTCTACATTAGAAATCCAAATATGGCATTGCTTGACATATTTCCCATTTGATGAAGTTAGTCTACCTTGAAAATATTGGAAAATTTATATCAAACAGTGGTTGTCAATCCAAACCGAGTCAAAATCACGTGATTTGATTGTCTTAGGGGTATTTTAGTCTTTTGTTTTGTTTGATCCAGTAAAAGCCATGTTGGCATTAGTTGAACTAGTGGGTAGAAGTCCCAGTTATTTAGAATGTTTTTATGCTATTTATTTGGTCCTTAGTTGTTGATGTGCAGTGTGGAATAATACAAAAAAATTGCCCCACAAAACTTCTTCTGTTTTTCGTTGGTTGGTGCTTTTTTGTTTCCGTGAGATGTGTACAGAGGGTTGATTCTAACACAAAAAATTTGCTTCCACTATCTACAGGTATGCATCTGAATCCTTCCAAGATTACAAGTGTTAGATTTTTAGGGCTAAATGCAATAATCAACTCTCCAATCATTCACTACTTTTAAAGTGTTGATTTTTTTTTCTTTAAATTGACTAATTTACTCTCATGCTACTTTCATTGTTATGATAAAAAAATAGCATGCTAGTTTCGTTTTTATGACAAATTGCGTGCTACTTTCATTTCTAAAACAAAAATAACATGCTACTTTTGTTGTTATGATAAAAATAACATGCTACTTTCATTTTTAAAATAAAAAAAACATTTAAAGTTTTGGTTAATTATGCAAGCTAGTCTAAAGAAGCGGAACAAGTTTGTTTCTTTTGTATAAATTGGGACTGCATATAATGTAAGTGGCTATTTCTGATAATGTGCCCTGTTTTTATACAAACTATGTAGATCTCAATGAGGTGTTCTTCAGGATTATGCACAACACTCAGCTGAAAAAGTTTATGAATGCATATAGTGATAAAAGGAGCAAACTCCTAACGAGGTAAATTTCTTAACAATGTGTAAGTACTCTTTTTTCATTGTCTAATTATCTCTTGAAAAATAAAATAAAAAAGCTTATGGTATGTACAGACTTTTGTATTTATATTACCTTCATGAGATGTATACTTTTTTGTGGATGCAGCTTAAGATGGAGCTAGGTGATGAAATTGATTTAATGCTGATAATGCACAGGTAGTCTAAATACTAGTTTATATTGTATTTTTGATGTGAAGTTGCAAGATTTACATATAAGTTGAAGAGTTTAATAGTTATTATATACACCAAGGTTTAAAAGTACGGAATCGCGCCTTGAGGCGTTTTCCCTCCGCCTCATGAGGCGTAACCCCGAGGCGGAATACAATATATATATATATATATATATTATATTTATATATATATATAAAATTATATATTTATATAAAAAATAAGATACTAAACATGTCTTTTTAGCTAATTTCACCATCAAATCCATTAGTCATAAAAAAACACATTCAAAAACATAAAATAAGTCTAGAACATCAAAGTCTAAAACTTCAAAAAACAGCCACATAGGAAACAACACACAAAAAAAAGCACAAGTTAGTGATAAGTTCATCCCATCATCCTCGTCAATCAAATTCACTTGAACATTTTTCCTTTTCCTAGTTCCACTCCCTTCCCCAATTGTTCCGCCACCTCTAGGTCTTCCAATAGCCCTGCCACCTCTAGCACTTCCAATTACCCCGCCATCTTCCTCCCCATCACTTGGGGCGGCTATCCACTTATCATCCGACAATACATGTTCAACAACTAAGGGGTCATCTTCTTTTAATTTAGTCCTCTTAATGAACTTTTGCTTCAACTTTTTATTGTACATGATGTAAACCAAGTTGTTCATTCTTTCGGTGTTTAACCGGTTGCGTCTCTTGGTATGGACTTGATTGAACGTACTCCAATTACGTTCACAAGCCGAAGCGGAACACGTAAGACCTAAAACCTTTATTGCAAAGGACTTGAGTTCCGGAGCATCGTCTCCATATTCCCCCCACCATGTAACTATATATACCCGGTGGACGTGTCTGATATGTCGATAAAGAACCTCTATATCCAAATAATCCTCTTTTTTCTTTGTAAGCAACGAGTTGATCTTCAATCTTCAAATAAACTGCCGTATCTCTCATGAGCCTTTCCATGACATCATACAATCCTCGCTTAATCTCCGGATGCTCGGAAACATTGGGACTCCATCGATATTGTGGATTTAAGTAGTAGGCAGCCGCATGCAAATCACGATGCATTTGCAACTCCCATTTCTTATCGATAATGTCCCAAATTTCTTTATAAAAAGCGAGGTTGTTATCCAAGTTCTTTGCTATTTTTTCTTTTCACTCGTCCATTGCCCCGTAAATAAATCCCATTGCTGGTGTTTGCTCCCCATCAACAAGCCTTAAAACTTGAACAATTGGCATTGTGGTTTTCATGGAATAAACCACACTAGGCCAAAAATTTCTTTCATCCATAATTATTTTTTTTTATCTCTCTACCATCGGGTTTCTTAGCCCAAGAAGATGCCCCCCATTCGTTTGAAACAAACATTTGTTGTAAGTTTTGTTTCGATTCATAAATGCTTTGTATAGTCAGAAAAGCCGTGGCGAATCTCGTGGCGGCCGGTCGAAGTAGATCTTTCTTCAAAATCTTCCGGGATAAACTTAACACCCACTGACGGTTGTAGATGAAATTGCTAACCTTTTTTGCTTTAAGCAAAGCATTTTTATGTTGAGTCAAATCACCGATTTTTTCAAGCATCAAATCGATGCAGTGAGCTGCACACGAGGTCCAATACAAGTTTTTTCTCTTCTCCATTAACAATGCTCCAGCAGCTTTGTATGCACTAGCATTGTCGGTCACCACTTGAACAACAATATCTTCCCCAATCTCTTCAACAACTTCATCAAGCAACTCGAAAAAAATTTGAGCATTTTTTTTGCAATCTGATGCATCAATACTTCTCAAAAAAACAGTTCCATATTGATTGTTGACCAAAAAGTTGATCAAACTTTGGTTTCTCATGTCTGACCAACCATCTGATAACAATGACACCCCTGTAGTCTTCCAAGTTGCTTTAATGTCATCCACCATTGTTGTTGTTGTTTTGACTTCTTCTTGAACGATCCAAGTTCTTAACTCATGCATTGAAGGGGGTTTTAATCCGCGTCCATAGTTTCCAATAGAATGTACCATATTAGTAAATGATGGACTATTGGATACATTGAACGGGATTCCATTCTCATAAAAGAACCTCCCAATATCCAAGCAAACTTGGTTTCCATGCTCTTTAGCATTGGATGGGGTAATTTTTACAGGTCCTGGACCATATGCAACCTATAATATACACAACAAACTAGATTTTTGGAGAAAGTATGCAACCTATAACCAATTTATGCAATATTTTAGGATTATAACATTTTCGTGAAACATTGTTAAACGAGAATCAGATCTCTTTGCAAACGGAGCAATTCTGATAACTGGTCCAATTCTTCACTTTGATTTTGATTGCTTCCATTACAAAGAAAATATAAATTTATAGGGCTTTGCTGTTTTAACAACTTATAGCACTCTTAAGTCAATGTTGCTTTTTTCTAACGATTGTTATTAGGAAAGCTGAATTAACCTCTTAATGCCTTAAAATGTGTCTGAATATGTTAGAGATAAAGATATGGTGTGAAGTTGCAGCTAAAAATTAACTAAAACTTACAATGAAGAATCCATAAATACCCCTCTGTTTAGTATGCCTGGTAATTCTTTACAAAAGGTATTTGTTATTTAGTCAATTCTTATATTTATTTAAAAAGTGTACTTTTTATTTAATAAGTTGGGACATCAGGGAAAGGAAATGCCACATGGTGTGGTCTTTTGTCGGTTGAAATGTCAAAAACAATTGGTCAATATAATGAGGTAATAATCAATTCTCTTTTGTGAATAAAAGTCTTAATTACATATATGAGAATTTTGGTAAAAAAACTTCAATTTTTTTGCAGGAATCTCTTCATTCAGCTGTGATGATTGAACAAGCATCTTATTATTACCTTTTATTTTAGCCAAACCAAATATGTTAAGAAAGTATGGATTTCATCTCATTCACTGTATTATACTTTCTTCACTGAAATTGTATATATTTACATCAACCATTTGCTTCTGCTTAAGTTATGCATCTGAGTATTTGATGGAGGCATTGGAGAGTGTGTTAAGTAGTGTTTGGTTATTATATAAGGAGGATTGGATACAAGTAGTTTATCTGCATTTGTTTTTAAAGATACAAATAAATATTGAGAAGCAGCTTACAGCTACAGCTTAGCCAACTATTGGTTTTTTGTGTTAGTGGCACATGGAATAATACCCAAGGCATGTCCCTCGGTTTTCTCCCCTACTATTATATTGTTAAAGTTTTAAATCCTCTTTTTAATAAATGCTTAAATTTATTGTGAATCACTCTTCTGCACAAGCCACATACATTGCTAAGTGTAAGTTTCACCCTTTAAAATTTTTAAATAAATGCTTAAATTTGTGATTAGTTGCTGAGCTTTTTGTTGGAGACTCCTTCTACATGATGTGATGGTTAATCCTTTCTTATCAATTGCACTGACAAGATTCTTTACGGATGAGCTAATGCCATCAGCAACTAAAGGTTATGTCATTTTCAAAACTTATTACAATTTAGTGTAACTTCAAATCCTTTTGTTAAATCACAGTTTAGTGTTTGACTTTTGTTTTTTTGATAACAGACTTAAACTTGCTCTGCATATCTGTACATATATATTTATATGTCCCTTTCAGGTGCATCACCCTTGTCTCATTTTCTTAAAGTGTACTTTAACTTTTTCTTATTAAGGAAATGTACTTTTTAAACATTACCCAGTTATATATATAGCATTGTACTTTCATCTTTTTTCTTATTAGGGGAGGGCATTATACTTAGAACAATCCACCCATTTATAGCATTGTCCTTTCAGTTCTCTAAGGAGTGGAATCGCCTTGTATTTGAAAGTAGAATGCTGTATCGAGATAAAATGAAAGTAGGATGCTAAAAGTACATTGCTATTTCTTGCATTTAAAGCCTTTATGTTTCAGGTGACCTGACCTTTTGCGATTTTGGTCCTATTTTCATGGTTTCATAATGCTCTTTTTAGACGTTTTGTTTTATAGATTTATGAAAATGATCTTTTTGTCCCTATCATCTTCATCTCTTTCATTTCCATTTTCAAGGAGCATAATGAAATTTCAACAGAATTTATCTCTTTCCTTAAAAGCTAATTTCCATATATGTTGATTTTTTTTTTGTAAAATATGATTAAGCGTGTCTGGTAGGCTTTTTTCAGAATGTGTTTTTGTGGTTTTGTTGATGTCTTGTGTGTTCGGATGGTAAATGTTTCTTAAGACTAAATCAGAGATATAGTTTATTTTCTTCTCTTTATGTATCTTTCAATCAGTAAGTAAGGTTTATTGATGCTCAGGTAGGTGTTTGGTTATTGCATTGTTGTTATGAATGCGAATGCATCTGGTGGTCTGTTTAAAGGTATCAATTTACAAAACTTTCTTCAGCACTTTTAGTTTTCCATGCTTTAAAGAATATAATCTGTCATGTCTGATAGTATTATATCTGTCAGGCAAGAGTGCATCTCCCATGCCATGTGGGACAAACTTGGTCATCACCCTTGTCTCCTCATGTCATGGATTTTCTTAAAGTATAAGTTATTTTTAGGACAACTAACTTTCATTTCATTCTTATGTGGCTTGTTTCATTATAGCATCCTAGTTTCATTTCTTTCCATTACAGTATTAAACTTTCAACTTTTTCTTATTAACAAATTGTGCTTTGAAATTTTTTACCCAATTATATTTTACCTATTTTTTTATAGGATCTTTTTTCTTATTAGGGCATTCTACCTAATTATAGCATCGTACTTTCAATTTTTTTTCTTATTGTGACACGGAACTTTGAATAATCTACCCATTTTTTTTTTGCTGATTAGGACATTATACTCTAAAAAGTTTACCTAAAACTGGGTAGATTTTTGGAAATAGAATGTTGTATTAAGATGAAAGTAAAGTAGGATGCTATATATAAACCAATATTGATGTATAATATGTGTGTGTTTAAGAATTAAAGCTTGTGGATGCTCCTGAGATGACCTACACATCTGATGATCAACCATACCATACCCTTGTGGTTAAATTTGTGTGAGGGGATGAATACTTGAAAAATCTAAACAACTATTAACTAGTATTTTAAAATAGAACCTATTAATAATGCACAGGTAGTCTAATTGCATTCTTTTGGGCTATAATTTGATCATGTTTATTTGTTATTAACATCTCTGAAATTTTCATGTGCATTTGTGTATGCTATTTAGATGCTAAGGTGTAAAACCTTATATTAAAACATTAATACTTTCATAATCAAACCTATTAAGACCATGTGATTGCATTATTTTTCCTATCAAGTCACTGTACTCAGAAAAACTAAACATGTTTAAAATTTTTTACTATCAAGACATTGTACTCTCAAAATCTAACCAATTGCAACATTATATTCTCAAAATATAACCTATCAAGGCATTGTAGTTGTAATACATTGTGCCTTTAAAATCTAAAGTTGTTTAATCATAGTTACCAAATGTAACATTATTATACTTTCAGTTTTTTTTTCTTATTAAGAAATTATATATTGAAAGTCTGATCAACTGGAGTATTATACTTTCAGTTACTTGTGTAGTATTATACTCTTTCTCAATAATTGCTACATTGATAAAGTGCTACCTGGATAATGATGTCCTAAGTTTTCTATATCTTTGTTTGACTTGATAAAACAATGCTTTC